GACAGTATTTCATGCCGGCACACCGCCTGCTACTTTACAAGGCGCAAGTTCGGCCTCACATGGAATACTGTTCCCATCTCTGGGCAGGGGCTCCCCAGTGCCAGCTCCTTCCACTTGACCGCATCCAACGCAGAGCGGCTCGAATTGTCGACGACCGAGCCCTTTCCGATCAGCTCGATTCATTGGCACTGCGAAGAGATGTTGCATCCCTTTGCATTTTCTTTCGCATCTACCATGGGGAGTGCTCTGAGGAATTGTTCGGATTAATCCCAGCCGCCAAATTTCACGAACGCACATCGCGGCAGAACTCCCGATACCATCCACACCATCTGGATGATTGGCGGTCCACCACTGTGCGATTTAGAAGATGTTTTCTTCCTCGCACGACCTCCTTGTGGAATCGATTACCATCAGCGATTTTTCCGGACCGATACGACTTAGGGACCTTCAAGAAAAGAGCGTACTCCTTTTTAAAAGGCCGGCAACGCATCTGCGATTCCCCTGGTGTTGCAGTTGTTCATGGGCGGCGGTCGTCACTTACCATCAGGTGAGCCGCATGCTCGTTTGCCCCCTCTCCTATAAAAAAAAAATATATATTATTATATAATAAAAATACTTCAAGCCGCCGAAGAAGATTAGTCAGTTTTTACCATCAGTCAAGTTTAATGTCCCTCTGCAAGATGCAGGAGTGTACAAGCTTGATTGTGAATGTGGTCTCTCTTATATAGGACAACCTAAAAGATCAATAAAAACCCGCGTTAAAGAACACATAGCTGATGAGAAGAACCGACGCCGCGGGAAGTCTGCAGTCTGTGAACACGTACAGGATCGCCGCCGTCAGTACATTAGATTTGATAGATTACAAATCCTCGCTAAAGAACACTGATTCTTTCCAAGGATGATTCGCGCGGCTCTTGAAATGAAAAAAAATATCCTAACTTCAATAGAGAAGTTGGCTGGGTGCTACCATCTTCTTGAAGACGTCAAACACCTCATTCGTCCCCCCCCCCCGTGACCATGGGTGCTGTAAAGTGTGAATATAAAATAAGTTATATATTCGCGATAAAATCCGTTAAAACGAGTTTTATTTAAATGTAAAATTAACTTGAAATTAAAATTCTTAGCTAAACATAATTTAAAATTAAAAATTTTGTACGGCCGACTTCAATATAAGTTATTAAGAATAACTCAAAAACTATTAGTCTGACCTTGATCAAATTCATAGGGGATTCATATGGGATTCACACGAGAAGTACCAGCTTTCAAAAGTAAAAAAGAACCATCGAAATCGGTTCACCCAGTAAAAATTTATGAGGTAACACACATAAAAAAACATACAGTCGAATTGAGTACCGTCCCTTTTTGGAAGTCGGCAGAAAAACAATTATGATTTGATTATAGCCAGTACTGCAGAACGGCAAATTCATAGGTAAAGACCTATTATAATGCAAGCGGTATGTAAAGACAGTTTTCTATTTTTCTTCTGTTTTTTTGTATTGATACTTATTTTCCTTTTAAGGTCATTTCTTCATCTCTTGGGGGCTTGCCTGGGCTGCGCTTTCCGATACTTTGGAACCTTTCTTCCCTATCGGTGCTAGGTCTTTCGAACTATACATCCTACCTATTGCCGCTTCAACTTATTGATCCGTTGGGCACCAAGAAGTTATTAGGCAGTGAAATCATTACCAAACTTAAGCATGTTGATCTACGTTGCCTTCACCAAGTGGACTGTAATTACAAATCAGCTGTTATTTCTTTTATTATTTTTATTTTGACACACACATTTTGTTTACCTTGATTAATTTTTTGTAATATAACGCATGCTGTGATTTCATAAGAGGAGTTAGCTATGTAAAATGTATTACATTGTTATGTAACCATATATTCATTGATGTTTCTTATGTTGGCTACCCAAAAAAAAAAAAAAGAAAATCCGGAGGTACGTCTTACTGTAGGTTGTTGAGTGAGTTTCCTAATACAGTTAGGATTGAAAGACCGTCCCACATTCATTAGATATCACTGGCAACACACTATAGACATCTGTTAACGTTACAGTTGCAGAATACTAAAGTGCACTGCTAAACATAGAACGCCACCATAAATTTCTTAATAAGGAGATATTTGCCATAGTTGCCACGATTGGCTAGCGGATTGGCAAACGCTGTTTGTTTTAGTCGTTACTAGGGAGACGCTGCTGACCAACTCCTGATTTGTTTCCCTCTGTCGCCTCTTACGCACCCTCGGAACGATGTAGGGTATTGTATATTATTATACCGCTACTACACACACTATTGACATGAACAATAATAAATATCCTAAATACAGACGTCATTAAATCTAGATTAGATAGTATGCAAAACGTCATCATGATGCGTAGAATATTCCCAGATACGAGAGCAATCCTTGTTTCCGCCACATTAAGGGCGCTCGTTAGCGGCTCAGAGGGATTCATGCTCGATTTATCGACATCATTTACACTTTTACATTCATATTTTTCTGAATTTTAGAACTGAATCCGAATGACAGGATGAGAAATCGTGCGATAAAGCAAAGTTTGGTTTGCACGATGATGTTGTGACCAGAATTTACACTTAAGGATAAAAATTATTTCAGTTTACAGTACTTTTATTTCGGCTTTCACTTTATTTATTTTTACGTAGTAGAGTCACGCTGTAGCTATATTATTGTTGTAGCACGAATGGCTTGCTCGACCGGCGTAGGACCACACTCCCACAGTATACCAGCGTAAAATAGCAGCTTAATATTGCTGTGGATCGTATGGTGAGTGTAGAGAACCGGAGACCTTTTTTTACTGGAAGCGAGGCTTACATAATATTTTCTTATATTTACGCGAACACTTAAACGGAATTGAAAATAAAAATAAGTACGGTTAAACGCGATAAAATCCGTAAAAGTAGTTTTATTTAATGGAATCGAGGCATTCCATCTCAGTCCTCAGGGGGACAACACATCTGCATTTTGATTCTTAATTGAGGATAACTGTATATGTCTATATGTTTACAGCATACACTTAACATCAGGTGGACTGTGTGCTCTTTTGTCACCTATATACTATAAAAAATATAATATGACTTAGTCTAAGAGGTAAGAAAATAATCTGTAGAACATTGCCTCAATTTCCTTGGAGACATTACAGAACAATTACAAGAGGTATTACCTCGGAACTTTATAAGAATATTTCCTCGGGGAAATTGTTATTTAGGGTTGCTTTAGAAAGTCACTTTTCTATATATATTTTTTTTAATTACCATATTCATTTTTTTTTTTTATAAAAACAGTTGGTATGATTGATTTTCATATCGGAACATATTTTAAATTTGTTTTCGCTAGGTATTTTAGTGTGGATGGATCGGTTATAATTATGTCATCTAAACCGAATTTCGATAATGGCGGCCAGTCTTGAGAGAGACTAGCCATATAGGACAGGATTATAGTGCCCAAGCACATGCACAAGGACAAGTGCACTCACTATTCCTTCACTCTCATAGTTCGATGGGACGGCAAATCATAACGACTGGAGAGAGTTCAGACCAAGTTTACGTGCTTCTCGAGGAACGGATTCTGCTGTGTTTGCTTGATACTGTTGTGTTTCATATGGTGAGTGTAGAGAACCGGAGACCCTTTTTATTACCCATATGTACCCATAGGTTTGCTACCAGGAAGATATTCTATCCATACATCATAGGCTGCCTCACGGAGGGGATTTTTCCATAGTCGGTCATATGCTTTGATACGGATTGGTCTGTTACTTTTTAATTTGTATAGAAATATTATAATTTAGAATTAGGGCAATGCAGCTGATATTTTCTTGTTCTAAAACCCTCTCAAAAATGAATGGGATGAAAATAAACTGTTACTGTATTTAGGAAAATATGTGTACAAGTAAAATCATACTAATTAAGAACATTTTACTGAGCATAATATTGTCTTAAGGTAGCGTTTACAAAGCTAATTGAAGCATGCAAAACCATCTATTTGTAGCTGATTAAATTCCAACAAAACCTTTATTACGATATTACAACGACAGTAATGTCTATTAGTTGTCATAATATTGTATCACACGCTAACCGCACTCGCCGTATGTCACAAAAGCTGTTTATATTACAGGCGAGAGTAATTGTGTTCATTCTGACGTTTAAATACGCTGAAAGCGTATATAAATACTATATAAAACAAATAAAACTTTTCTTCTTCTTCAGTAACATAACGCGGAAGGACCACCTGATGGTAAGAGAATATGTTGGCCCATAGACTTGTACAATTAATCTCGATTAGGAATCAAAATACAGATGCGTTGTCACCCCTGAGAACTAAGATGGAACACCTCATTTCGTGTAAAAAGTTTCTTAGTTTCTCTACACTCACCATACAAAACACAGCAGTATTAAGCTGCTATTTAACGCTAGTATTTTGTGAGAGCGTTGTCCTTCCCCGTGTATAATGTATAGCACATATAATTATTTAATTACAATATAATTATATGACTATATAATATATATACATCCGACCTATTGCCGCTTCAACTTATTGATCCGTTGGGCACCAAGAAGTTATTAGGCAGAGAAATCATTACCAAACTTAAGCATGTTGATTTACGTTGAAGTGCCTTCACCAAGCGGACTGTAATTACAAATCAGCTTTTATTTCTTTTATTATTTTTATTTTGACACACACACACATTTTGTTTACCTTGATTAAAGACGAATTTACATTTTACAATTTACGAAACTAGTGGCTCAAAATTAGTTTTATGACATTAATTTCATCAACAATTTCACGTGTAAATTAACAGTTTCATAACGCATGCATCGGTTTTGTGACACTGGATTAATTTCGTGCCATGCGCATATTTTTTGTAAAACTAATGTCACGCAACTACTTTCACGATGAACACGCGACACAAAACTAGTGTCGCGAAAGCATCTGCACAGGGCAGACGTGTGTGTTAAAGTGCATCGTGCAGCTAAATACGCGCCAAAATGGCAAACCAACGTTGGTCAGTCGATAAAAATATAAAATTCATTAACGAATACCAGCGTAACGAGTGTCTTTGGGATCCAAAACACCCTCAATATAAAAATAGAAATGCTAGAGAGGCAGCCTACAAAGTAATTATGGAAACCATGGAAATGGACACTGTGAAAGAAGTTGTAAGCAAAATACGGATACTTCGTAATACTTATAACAACGAACTTTTGAAAGCAAAAAAATGTAATACGACGGGTATGGGAACTGATGAGGTGTACATGTCTAAAATACCTTGGTTGCCTCATATGCATATTTTGAAAAACATTGATAGTTACACCAGAGAAAATACAGAGAATTTGGTAAGTTATTATTTTATTATTTGTAGTAATAGTTTTCAAATTTAATAAATCATTCTTTCTTGCCATTCTAGACGCCCTTGCCCAACAAAGTAGTCACTATAATGTTCTCTTATTCTGTGGGAATTTCTGGAATGATTTCCACTAAAACTGCTGAGTGGCCTGAATGCTTCCTGTGGTATTTCTCGCCATGAACCTCTCCTTATTTCTCCTGTATTTATATTTTCTTCATCAATCAATCCTGGTTGAATATAGGATTTTTAACCAATTGTGCAAAACACTACAGGCCTTTATAATTTTGTCCACAGTTTCTGGCACTATAGGAATAGGTTTTCTATAGTTCTCCGAGCTCTGCATAGTCGGTAGTTGAAAATTTTTTGTTTTCTTGATAAACTTATTCGACGACTATAAGGTGTCATAAGATATGCAGTCAAAGGGAATGCTTGGTCTCCCAAAAAAACCATTCCTTCAGGACAGTTCAAAGTCTTTTCTTCCAAGGATTTTTTAAAATTTGATCTAGCAAATATTCCTCCATCGGAAGCTCGGCCATAGTGACCCACATTGATATACCTAAACTTTAAATCACTGTTACAAACTGCTAGGAGGACAATACTGAATGTTCCCTTGTAATTATAATAATCACTTGCCGAGTGCATGGGACAACGTATTTGAACGTGTTTGCCATCTATAGCCACCACACAGTGGAAAATTACATTTTTCATGAAATCCATCAAGAAAGAAAGAAAGAAAGAAAGAAACATTTATTTGCACAAATCACATCACGCACATCAATTATATCTCTCCAACTTTTTTCATTGTCTGGTACCTGTAAAAGAAAATAAGTAGTTCAATATATTGTTTCAGACACCAAACATTGCACCCTACACTCAAGAAGCTTCAGTTTATGAATCCAACGATGAAGAGTTCACTGTACCACGTATAAATTCAAGAAATAAAAGGAAATTAAAAGATCCACTCCTTAGAGCAGTTGATGCATTAGAAAAAGTTTCAACGCAGCAGTTTTCAAATAACACAGGTGATGACGAATTTGACCTTTTCGGACGCACTATAGCTCAGAAGTTACGGCAGCTTCCATTAGAAGCTGCCCTAGAGACCGAAGAAGTAATATTGGCTACTATAAGACAGCAACGTGTAAAGCTATTAAAACAGAGATAGTTATCACAAAGAGGTACATTATCATCAATGTCAGAGTGTATGGAGTCTAACAGAACTACTACCATTACTATACCAGAGAATCAGCAAGTCGCACAATCCTCATCAGAATCGGAGTCAATTGCTGCTACTAGTGCAGCTGCGAATAACGATGCAGAAGACGAGTATTACACATACAATGAGGACATACTTTCGCAAGCTGTTGCAAGCATATCAGGTTCTCATTTGGATAGAGAATTAAATTTTGATAATTATTAATATGCATATCATAATGGCTAGATTGTTAATTACACCAAATAAAAATTATTTTCTTACCTGAATGTAGTGTTTTCATTTTTCATAAATTTCGTCCAGCACATCAGGTAAAAATTGCGATATAGTACACGAAGGCACTCTAAATTCGTATGATAATGAAGTCAAACTATTTCCTGTCGCAAGAAATCGTAAAGTAATTTGAAGTTTCAATTTTGCTGTCAGTGCTTCTCGACATGTTGTATCCTGTTTAGATATTTTGTATGACACTTTACTTAATAAAAAATTAAAATAATCTTCACTCATTCGAAAGTAGTTTGTATAGCTCTCGGGATCTTCATCTGCTAATTCAAAAATTAAACGTGTTGCACCCAATTGCTTTCTTCCTACCCATCCTCGAATCCACCGACGTCTTTTCTTTCGAGATAACCTTTTTTTAATTTTATATATTAACATTTGTACCACGACGTTTTGCATGGCAAAATTAAGCTTTGATGTTGACAGAGCCATGTCGTTGGTGATACTGTTGATTTCACGACACTATTATTTTTTGTGAAAGTAGTTTCACACGTGCTGCAACTATTTTCATGAAACTCTTTCCAACATGCATAACACTAGTTTCGTAATGTAAATTCGGCTTAATTTTTTGTAATATAACGCATGCTGTGATTGCATAAGAGCAGTTAGCTATGTAAAATGTATTAAATTGTTATGTAACCATATATTCATTGCTGTCTCTTATGTTGGCTACCCAAAAAAATAAAATGAAAATCCGGGGGTACTTCTTACTGTAGGTTGTTGAGTGAGTTTCCTAATACAGTTAGAATTGAAAGACCTTCATTAGATATCACTGGCAACACACTATAGATTTAGATTTTTAACAGTGGTAGAGCTAAGCGGTAGCTTTTGCTGTCGCACGGATGAGCCAGCTCGAACCGGGGTGGTACCACGACTTCACAGAATACCAGCGTGAAGTAGAGGTTTACCTCTGCGTTGCGCTTGGTGAGTGCAGGTGGCCGGAGGCCCAATTCCCCCCCCCCCCCCCATCAACATGGTAGTGGAATTAAATACAAGACTACCCCAGGAGGGTACCAGCACCCCTGGAGAATCCCTCGCTGAGCATCCACGACCAAACTACTTCACTCCTGAGCGTGGGTAATCAGGCTGCCCCGCGTGTTCTGGGGGGGGCAAAATTCCGCTCGTGACTAATGCTGCTCGGGGCAAGCGGAGCAATACAACCAAGGCGACCCCTGTCACGCTATCCGTGAATTTTTGCAACATCAGGGGACTTCATTCCAACCTTAACGCTGTCCATTACCATCTAGAGACGGCGAAGCCGGCCTTGCTCTTTTTAACCGAGACTCAGGTGTCCTCTCCGGCTGATACTTCATATCTCTCCTACCCGGGATACAAATTGCAACACTCCTTTGTGCCCCGGGCTGAAGTTTGTGTATACGTCAGAGAGGACATCTGTTTTCGACGCCTCGGCAGCCTTGAAGGTACGGACCTGTCCATCCTATGGCTGCGCGTAGACCGCTACGATCATCCCCGCGTCTACGGGTGCCTCTATAGGTCCCATAGCGGTTATGCCGACACAGACCGACTCATCGACCACGTCCAAATGGCTGCAGACTCCGTGCTACAACAGGTCCCATCCGCAGAGATCGTGATACTCGGTGATTTCAACGCCCACCACGCTGAATGGCTTGGTTCTCGTTTAACCGATCATGCGGGTAGATCTGTGTACGACTTTGCTTTGGCATATGGTCTAACACAACTGGTTACTTCGCCTACGCGGATCCCAGATGTGGAAGACCATGTACCTTCCCTGTTGGACCTTCTGCTGACCTCTCATCCGGACGGATATCAGGTCTCCGTCGATGCCCCTCTGGGCTCTTCGGACCATTGTCTGATCCGGAGCACGGTGCCACTCACCCTCTAATCGCAGTTGCGATCTGCAGCTTGCCGCCGTGTTTGGCACTATAGGTCAGCTGATTGGGACGGGATGCGGTCTTTTTTTGCATCCTACCCTTGGGGGCGGGTTTGCTTCTTGCCGGAAGATCCCAACGTTGTTGCCGATTCTGTTGCTGATGTGGTACTTCAGGGTATGGAACTTTTTATTCCATCCTCTGTGGTGCCCATCGGAGGCAGATCCCAGCCATGGTTTGGTCGCTCCTGTAAAATAGCATCACGCTATAAGCAGGAGTGCTACCGGGCCTGGGCTGATGTATCAACGTCTCGGGATTTAAACACCAGCGCACTTAAAAAGAAGTATAATTCCGCCTCCAGGTCCTTCAAAAGCGTCATTGCCAAGGCAAGGTCTGAGCACATCGGCAGAATTGGCGAGAAGCTAGTTCGCCTTCCTTCGGGAACCCGTGCATTCTGGTCTCTCGCCAAGGCTGTCCAAGGGAACTTCTGTCAGCCATCCCTTCCATCTCTGCACAGAGAGGACGACTCATTGGCCCATGCCGCAAAAGAGAAAGCCGATCTGTTGTGCTCTCTTTTTGCGTCTAACTCGACTCTATATGACGGGGGGAACACACCGCCGACCATCCCGCGATGTGAGTGCTCCATGCCGGATGTGCGATTTATACAGCGCTCGGTTCTCAAAGCACTCTTCTCCCTGGACGTCAGCAAGTCGAGTGGGCCCGATGGAGTCCCTCCCATTGTGCTGAAGACGTGTGCTCCGGAGTTGGCACCGGTTTTAACGCGTCTTTTCCGGTACTCCTACTCCCAAGGCGTAGTCCCGAATTCATGGAAGACAGCTTTGGTCCACCCAATCCCTAAAAAAGGCGACCGCTCAGACCCGTCCAACTACAGGCCTATCGCTATCACCTCCTTGTTCTCCAAAATAATGGAATCCATTATAAACTGCCAGCTCATGAAAGATCACCAGCTGATCAGTGACCGTCAGTACGGTTTTCGTCGGGGTCGATCAGCGGGTGATCTTCTAGTTTACTTAACTCATAGATGGGCGGAGGCAGTAGAGTCCAAGGGGGAGGCAATGGCCGTTAGTTTGGACATAGCGAAGGCCTTCGATCGGGTCTGGCACAAGGCGCTTCTTTCGAAGCTTCCTTCCTATGGGCTTCCCGAGAAATTGTGCAAATGGATCACCAGTTTCCTTGCTGATCGGAGCATCAAGGTCGTAGTAGACGGTGCATGCTCTGATTACAAGCCTATCAACGCTGGTGTTCCACAAGGCTGCGTGCTATCACCAACGCTGTTTCTCCTGCTTATCAATGATATGTTGCTAACTGGTAGCATTCGTTGCTATGCAGACGACAGCACTGGGGATGCCTTATATACCGGCCGTGCCAATATTTCTCGGGAAAACGTCGCCGAGTACCAGGACAAACTTGTGTCTGAAGTCGAGTCTTTGCTTAACAAAGTCTCGGATTGGGGCCGACTAAATCTAGTCCAGTTCAATCCCCAGAAGACAAAAGTTTGCGCGTTTACCGCTAAAAAGAACCCCTTTGTCGTTTCTCCTCAGTTTCAAGGCACTCCCCTTGCTGCCTCAGCCAGTATCGGAATCCTTGGCGTCGACATATCGAATAGCGTGCAGTTTCGTGGTCACTTGGAAGGGAAGGCCAAATTGGCCTCTAAAAAGCTTGGCGTGCTCAGCAGAGCGAGACAGTATTTCATGCCGGCACATCGCTTGCAACTTTACAAAGCGCAAGTTCGGCCCCACATGGAATACTGTTCTCATCTCTGGGCCGGGGCACCCCAGTACCAGCTCCTTCCACTTGACCGCATCCAGCGCAGAGCGATTCGAATCGTCGACGACCGAGTTCTTTCCGATCAGCTCGATACACTGGCACTACGTAGAGATGTTGCATCTCTTTGCGTATTGTATCGCATCTATCACGGGGAGTGCTCTGATGAATTGTTCGGACTAATTCCAGCCGCTCAATTTCACCATCGCACGTCGCGACAAAACTCGCGTTACCATCCGTACCATCTGGATGATTGGCGGTCCACCACTGTGCGATTTAAAAGAAGTTTTCTCCCTCGCACAACTTCCTTGTGGAATCAATTACCACCAGCGATTTTTCCGAACCGATACGACTTAGGAACCTTCAAGAAAAGAGCTTACACCTTTCTAAAAGGCCGGCAACGCATCTGCAATTCCCCTGGTGTTGCGGTTGTTCATGGGCGGCGGTAGTCACTTACCATCAGGTGAGCCGCAAGCTCGTTTGCCCCCTATTCTATAAAAAAAAATAGACATCTGTTAACGTTACAGTTGCAGAATACTAAAGTACACTGCTAAAAATAGAACGCCACCATAAATTTCCTAATAAGGGGATATTTGCCATAATTGCCACGATTGGCTAGCGGATTGGCAAACGCTGTTTGTTTTGGTCGTTACTAGGGAGACGCTGCTGACCAACTCCTGATTTGTTTCCCTCTGTCGCCTCTTACGAACCTTCGGGACGACATAGGGTATTGTATATTATTATACCGCCACTACACACGCTATTGACATAAACAATAATAAATATCCTAAATACAGACGTCATTAAATCTAGATTAGATAGTATGCAAAACGTCATCATGATGTGCAGAATGTTCCCAGATACGAGAGCAATCCTTGTTTCCGCCACATTAAGGGCGCTCGTTAGCGGCTCAGAGGGATTCATGCTCGATTTATCGACATCATTTACACTTTTACATTATTTTTCTGAATTTTAGAACTGAATCTGAATGATAGGATGAGAAATCGTGCGATAAAGCAAAGTTTGGTTTGCACGATG